TTGGGTACAACCATCCCATGGGCGGCCTCACAATTCCATGCAGCAAAGACATATTCACTGATCTTGCTTCTCGTTTGGGGGCATTATGACTTCCAAATGGCAGTTTTAAATTTCTACCTCGGTTTTTTGTAAAGAACTAATTAACCACTAGGACCTTTTGGAGTTTGTAAGACTTGTGGAGACATTTCTCCCAGATTTATGAAATTTGATTTTGGAATTTTTTATTCCCTTTGTGTTATGAGCAAAGACATAAATGACAAACCGATTATTTCACAGTCTACTAAATTTGTGCTGAGATCTTTTCTTCAAATGATGAATGCCCTTAGACAGATAAAGGCATCTCATACATTACCACTCAATTGTCCCTAAGCTGCAGCGATAGCAGATACATGGAATTAAACAATTGGGTTTATGTGATCAGACCATGAACACTATGTGTCGAATAATGACTCACAGCTCATGACAGATTTTGTTTCTTGTATTCATGTCTACCATTGAAGTATATGTGCCACGAGAATAATTACAAACGGGTTTCTGAGCTTTAACAGGAATGAGCAGCAGAGATGTTACGTACCACACAAGAACGCTAGTTTAGTTTGTACAGCAGAGAAATATTTCTATTCTGATTCAGGATGCCAAAAGAGCTCCTGTTTCTACAGCTTTTAGCATGTGAATTAGATATTCTAACACAATTCGACTGAACCTCTTATCACTGGAACATATGTTGGTAGCGGTCTTCATATGATGTGATCATTGCAGGAGCTCCACTTGAAATTTGTCATATTCATTGATCTCTCGATGCAGCAAAAACGTATTCACTGATTTTTCATATTTGCATAAACTTGTCAATTATGCAAGACGTTATTCGTTTCAATGCTTTTCTCAAGCGTCTTTCTTCCTAATGGGATCTAGTCAAGCTCCACAAGTTGGCTCCATAATATTTTCACCTCCGTTCACTAACCAAAATGTCTTCTATGTTCCTTTGCTAGCTTAAGTGTTTTCAGTATTCTATCTATGAGTGGTGTTTGCAATTCTCTACCAGGTACCATTCCTTTTATTCATGGCACCTATGTATCTCAGGACACATTGAAGAAGAAAACTGCATTATCCATATCTCCCTCTAAAAATCAAACCTTTTATTTGGCCAAAACTTAAGACAAAACCATGTGATTTTGGATACATAGTGGCTTGCTCATTATTCCACTTAATTATATCTATATACATGACACGTCATTGGGTTGCCTATGTTTTAAGACAACCGAGAGATTTTAATGATTTTTTTTTTCTGTTTGTTAGGAAGCATAACCACATTACATTTAAAGTATATGGGGCCAAGGATTTGGTATCATTCTTGACCTTATTCTTAGTTTAAAATTGTGCCCTTACAAGTCACATCTATGTCTAACCCTTCCTGTATCCTATACTCCAAACGCAGATCTCAGAAATAATTAGAAAATATGCTCGGCGATCTTATGGTTGACAAGAAATGTTGTTCTTTCATGCAAGTTGGAAGACACAACCACATGATATTTTGCAATTGTGTCTCAGCGTCTCCATCTGCCATTKAATKCCCCTTTTATTACCAATCGTACATTTGAAGTCAATAATGGAAGAGATTAGAGACTAGATTAGAGCCTTCAATAGCCGGGCCATGAGAGGAAGTTCAGGACCTCCCTTTTCTATGTAGCTCGGTTTCACAAATGACTATGATCACAACGACCATGAAATTTAATTATGGTATGTGTAGAACAAATTATATGAAGATCTATGTCAAATGGAACCCACGTATCAATAATTATGGATATACCAAAAGGGCATTTTTTTTCTATTTTATGTTTAAGAACAAGAAAAGAAACGGTTTATGTTTCTTCTTGTATCTATTAGAGAGTTTGTGTATAATAATCCAACAAGAAACGAACAAGTTCGGGTCATACATATTTCCACTAGCTTACAATATGCTTACATCTTCACCAAGGGTCTCCCTTCCTCTCTATTTTCGGAGTTCAGGTCAGTCTCAATGTTCGCCCTTCTCCCGCTTGCCTGTGGGGTGTGTTAGTAGATAAATAAATATGTAAAATATTTGTTTATATTTTCCTTTTCTTGTTTATATAGTTTTAGGTTTTGTTCTGATCTCTATATATTCTCTTTTGAAATACATGTCAAGCAAGCATGTTCTCTAATCCACGCTTAGCTCATAACACGACCGGCATATGTAAATCCTAAATCAAATTTCATAAAACTGGGACAATTATCTCCATGCGTCTTACAAACTTTTAGAGGTCCTATACTCCTATTGGTTAGTACTTTACAAAACCATGGTAGAAATTTAAAACTGCTAGGTACAAGTCATAATGCCCCCAAACGAGAAGCAAGATCAGTGAATATGTCTTCGCTGCATGGAATGGTGAGTCCACCCATTGGATGGTTGTACCCAAATTCTTCCTCTGCCTGATTTAATAATTCTTGAAATGCAGGTTGGCTTAACAATGATACTGGAACCACAAATCTCTTCTTCTCTTGTTCCCCAACATAAACAGCAAAATAACCTTTTGGGATGGCCATGTATGTATTGCTGCTTCCATTTGACAATGATCGTCGAAGAATTTGTTTTGCTTGAATGATCCGAGGCATAAGAATGGCCATTTTTCTAAGGAGCGCACGGTCTGTTTTGTTGTAAAGGCTGATGAAGGAAGAAAAAGCTCAAACTAATCCTTGGAGAAGTATGTTGTTGTGGTTGTGTTTATGTGTTTATGCATATGGAATGGTTTATATAGACAACCGATACACAGAGAGGTAGATGAGAGCTCATGACATATGGTGTAGCTAAAAAGCAATATCACATGGTTTTGTCTTCCAACTTGTAAAGAAAAAGAGTTCTCTTCAGATAAAAAAGAAAATATAGTTATGGCTCTACCCAACACCATGGTCCCATGCATGAGGCTTATATCTACAAATGACTAGTTAGCCAT